CTCTCTCTCTGTGTGTGTGTGTGTGTGGATGTGTTGCTATGTGCCAATGGGTCAGCAGTGGTCGCACCTCAGCCCGTCTGCCTCAGGCGTTGGCGAGCGGTTTGTCCAAGCACGCTCAGTCGCTGGGCATGACCCTCGACAAGGCCATCAAACTCGTCGCACCCGACGTCAGACTGGTACGCACAGCAAGGGAGGGAGAGAGGGAGAGAGGGAGAGAGGGAGGGAGAGGGGATGCATGCATCTCTCTGTGTTTGTGTGGTGTGGCTGGCTGGCTGGTATGCTGGTGTGTTGTAGGAGCATGACGAGGGCGATGAGGATGAGGACGAGGACCTGGACGACGACATGGACGACGAGGAAATCACACACACCAGCAAACGACTGCAGAGATCTGGCGGAACGGTAGGGACTATCTATCTCTCACACAGCACAACCAACACACGGATGCTCTCGTGCTCTCGTGTTAACACAGAGGAGCCGTGGGTTGAAGTCTCGTGGTGCGTCCGAGGGTGTGGGTGGCGGCTACCCCGCCGCCGCGGCGGCTGCGGCTGCCGGGGCCAACGACAGCGGGGCCGCACTCGACGACCAACACAAAATCGAAACTGAGCAGCAGCCGGCAACTGCATCGGGTCCGCATAACGCACCACACAGACAGACCGTGTGTATCGTATCCTCCCCAGTCAAATCAATGTATGTGTCCATGCCATGTGTGTGTGACTGCAGACGAGCTTCCCCCCGCCCCACCCGCCCCGATCGTGCCGGAGGGCCCCATCTTCAACGGCCACGACATCCCGCCGCTCGACCAGCCCCCTGTCAAGGAGGACGAGCCCGCCCCCGCTGCGGCGGCTGCGGCGCCCCTATCGGGCCATGCGGCCATGATGGGGTCTGAGGGCGACGACGAGGACGAGGCCATGCCGCCGGCAGCTCCTGCCATCGACACCGGTGTGGGGGCGGCCGTGGGTATGGGAGAGGGGGTGGGAGAGGAGCAGGACCAGGTGAATAATGGTGTGGTGGACGATATGATCGGGGGTGGTCCCCCTGCTGCGGCTGCTGCTGCGGCGGCGGCGGCGGCGGCACCGGCGGCACCGGCGAAGCTGGAGGAAATGGGTAAGTCAGCGAGTGGTGCGAATCGAAATAGGGGGACCGTCTGATGTGTGTGTGCTGTGTGTGTTTTGTCAGATACGGCCTAGAGCGATTGATTGGTTTGTGGATGGTATGGTGAGCGGGCTCCTGACATGATAGATAGGTGTCCCCAGAGGGAGAAAGGGGGAGAGCCAGGCTGCCTGCAGGCCTCCTTCCTTCCTGCTCTCGCGCCCATCGTGTCGTGGTTGCCGACCTGCCTGCCTGCCTGCCTCATCAGTAAAGCATGCATGACTCACATACACACATACATACACACATACATGGATGGATGGATGGATGGCTGCTTAACGGGCGGGGTCGTCTCTTGTGGACAAAGGTGTCCTCTTTTTGCAAGCATTGGATCGATGGATGGATGCATAACCATACGGACACTCGTGTGATGGATGGATGGATGGAGGACCGAACAGGCGGGCGGGGAGAGGGGCTATCGCCGATCGATTGGTTCGTTCGTCTCGTCTCGACGGGTGCTTGACTGACTGACTCACTGATGGGGGGTCGATGAGTGAATGCTTTGAAGCTGACTGACAAGTCGCGTACGAGACACGATAAGTGAGTGGTTCCTGCTTTCGCTTTCCGCTGCGTTTTCTGCTCGCTGCGTGTTGCGATGTTGGGCGGGACGGCGGGACTTGGCATGTTGCACCATGCGGTGTCCCTCCGTCACGTCGAGCAAGGTGACACACGGCAGCAGAGAACGTGGCTTGGTGGCGGCACTGCCATGCCATGCCATTCCGCTTTGTCTCTCAGCAGCAGACAGGCCAGGCAGACGACTGGTCGCCGTCCATCCATCCACCATCAGGCAGACAGACAGTCAGGAAAGGTAGCAGTTTTCTCGCTTGCTGCTGCGTGTATGTATGTTTGTGTGTGTGTGTGTGTGTGCGCGAATATGTGTGTGTGTGTGTGTGCGCGCGAATATGTGTGTGTGTGTGTGTGTGTGTGTGCCACATACCAACCACATGTATACTTACCCTACTCGCTCAGTTGCTTGCGCTGCCTTCTGGCCTCCTCCCTCCCCTCCCTCTCCCTCCCTCCCTTCCCCCCGGCCCGAGATGCGGCCTGTAGTAGTGTCCTTGTGTGTGGGTTTGCTGCTGTTGATGAAGGCTAGTCCTAATTCGCATGCACATGCTCACAGCCGGGAGCCGGCCGGTCACACAGCCGGACAGACAGACAGGCAGGCAGGCAGTCAGGCAAGCATGGGCGAGGCCAGATACCACTTTTCTGGACGTGATTGGTGTCGAAAGGCAGCTGGGAGTCTGAGTGAGGGGGACAGGGGGGAGGGAGGGAAGGAGGGTCGTGCTTAAGCGAGAGAGAGAGAGAGAGAGAGAGCCGAGCCACACACGGCAAACCGAGGGATCGTTGTTATGCATCTATGCGTCAGCACTCATATGTAGTTGCCAACTTCTTCGAGTGTCGCGGCTCGAGTGGATTGTTACTGCCTGCCTGCCTTGCCTGCCTGCATGGCCGGC